GTGGGGGATGGAAGCCAGTGTAGGGATTGGCATAGGGGGGCGGAGGATGGAAGCCAGTGTAGGGATCGGTAGAGGGGGGTTGCAGACACTGAGCGGTTGGTTAGGTGAATGAGTCTGGCAGCTGCATTCATGATAGACTGAAGGGGGGGAGGAGCCTATGTAGAGGTCGGCCAATGAGGAGGGAGTTGCAATGAGTCAAGACGAGAGATAACAAGGGAGTGTATGAGTAGTTTTGCGGTTTCATTGGTGAGGAAGGGGCGTTTTTAGAGATGTTGTGAAGGCGGCAGGATTTGGATAAATGTTTTAGCTTTATAACATTTCCTTAGTATCAGTTTTAGCGGAGTTGAGGAGTTTGGGTGGAGTTGTCCTTTAAGCACAGTGTATACTTTAAAAAAAAAAAAAATGCTTCACAGTGCGGGTCACAGCCCTGAAAGTGACTCATTCTGAGCAAATAAATGCGGGGAGGTCCGATGTCAGCCGTGAGTCAGCGGAAATCCATGGAATGTTTACACAAAACAACGAGGAAAGAAAAAACCCAAAACCTTCCTTGCAGACCCCACGCGGGGCGGGCGGGCGAAGGCCTGGAACCTATCTGACTGATGTAAAACAATTTCATGAGTCGGCAGATAAGCTTCCGAGGAAATAAAGTGACGCGCGCGTTTTATTGATCGACGTGACCAAACGTTTTAGATGTTTCTGTTGGGTCATGTATAGAACTGACTGGGGCTGTAGCCAGCATTCCCCTCCCCCTTCCTGTGTGGGCACATCTCCCTAATGGGAACTCAGCATTAAAGGAGAACTACGAGGTCAGTGTGGTTCCCCATAGTTCTCCTCAGGGTCACCCTAGGCTCAGTATATAGGGAGCTACAGCTCGCGGTATACTGAGACCGCCGCAGCCGCGACAGATCCCGACATCGATGTCTCACTGTGAGTGACAGCTGGCTCTGCCTATCTAGAGGCTGTACCCGCCCCCTCCCCCGTCCGTTCCGCTAGTCAGCGCTAG